GATTTCATTCTCTCTGGAAGTGTGTGTGTGTGTGTGTGTGTGTGTGTGTGTGTGTGTGTGTGTGTATTTAATCATGGTCATTTAGAATTGTATTGAGTCAATAAAATATCATTGTATTGATCAGAGTAGCAAAGTCTTTCACAGTTGATCATCATTTCAGTAATGTTATTACTGTGTACAATGATCTCCTATTCTCACTATTCTCATTAATCACCTATTCTTACTTCACTTCACATCAGTTCATGAAGGTCTCAGCATGTTTTGCTGTTGTTTTTCTGACACCAAAATTCTCATTTTTCTATTTAGCAAAATAGTATTCCATCAACATCACATGCCACAGCTTGGCCAGCTATTCCACAATTGATGAACATGATCTCAGTTTCAAATTCTTTCTCACAACAAGCAAAGCTGAAATAAATGCAGACATACTAGTGGTATTGCTTGATCAAAGCATATATACAGTTAGTACTTTGGGCATAGTTTTACATTATTATACATAAAAGTTGGACCAGTTTACTACTGTTCATTAGTGTACCTATTTGTCCTCAATCTCTCCAACATTTGTAATTTCTTGTGGTTGTGAGGTGGTACATGGCAGTTGTTCCAATTTGTATTTCTCTAATCGAAAGTGATATGGAACATTTTAATATTATTATAGATAGCTTTGATTTCTTTTGTCACATGTAATTTTTATTGCATCATGATCTGAAAAGGATGCTTTTAATATTTCTGCCTTTCTGCATTTGATTATGAGGTTTTTATACCCTAATATGTGATAAATTTTTGTGTAGTGCCATTAACTGTTGAGAAAAAAGTATATTGATTTCTATCTCCATTCAATTTTCTCCAGAAGTCCTTAATATCTACTTTTCAAAAATCTGATTCTCTTTAATCAGGCTCATATATAGACACATGCATTCATATGCATCTATGTAAGAATGTAGTATACTTGTTTGACCTCTGTTTCTGGGAAGGTGGATAACATCTTCCTTCATAAGTCCAAATCTTTCCATATTTTTCTAAGTCCACAAACTCATCATTTCATAAAAAAGCAATATTCCAACTTTATAGTTACTTTAAATGTTTAAAAGTGATTAATATCACTGACTTATAATGTACTTTCCTGTTTTTCTCTTTTGATTAAATCTATTTTAGCTTTGAATTTTTCTGAGATCATGATTACTATTCCTGCTTTTCTTTCCCTTATGAATTCTACTCCTGATCTTTATTTTATATTTGTGTGAATCTCTTATTTCCTATCCCTCCTGACCCCTCTATTTTACTTCTACCTTTTACCTTGTCCTACTGTTACTTAACCTGGTCCCTCTGTAGGGTCCAAAATTCCCCTGCACAGGAATATTTGTGGTCCTGCCACCCCAAACAGTGGGGCAAGATTGATACCAAAGAAAGAGACAATACTGTTGGGTAAATATACAGGTCTTATATAGGTCACTGTGGCCTTGTTATGGCTTTCACCAATTAAGACCCCAGACCCCCTCTCCAAAGATTCCTCCTTATCCTCTCTCACCCCTCACATACTTACCTCTTACTCTCTTGTTTCTATCTAAATTTAGAAGACTTTTATACCCTTCAAATAAATAACTCCCCTTATTGTATTCCTTCACCCTCACATTTATTTATACATTTGAAGTCTTTTATTCGCTTTTAAATGCATATGTTGTTCTCTCTTTAACCTAGACGTGATGTAATATTATTATATAATAAGTAATGAAGGATGTTATTACAGAAAAACCTAGACTTATATGAATAGATGGAGTGCAAGTGAGCACAACCAGTGAGCATAACATACAATATACATATGGAAATATAACATACAATAATAAAAAATATTATAAAGATAATCAAATTGGAAAAAAATAATAATTTAATAACTGTTCAAAACAATGACCAACCACAATTACAAAGACTCAAAATAAAACATGCTATCCACTTCTAGGTAGAGAATTGATGCACTTAGAGGACAGACTGAAATATATACATTAATATACATATGTGTGTGTGCATATATATGTATATATATATATATATACATATATATACACACACACACGTATGTATATGTATATATGTGTGTGTGCACACACATTTACATGTCTTTTATTTTTCTTTTTTTGGAGAACATGGCTAATTCAGGATTTACTTTTTGTATGACTATACATATTTCTAATGGCTTTTGCTTTTCTTGCTTTCTCAATGTATGAGAGAGAGGCACTGACAGAGGAAGAATTTGCAACTGAAAAAAAAAGAATAAAAAATTCTGTGCTTTTAAAACATAGATAATTTATACCTACAGCATTTTCTTGATCTACCAACCAGTCTAATAAGTTTGATAAAAGACTAAATGAGGTTGTTTGCCATGACTTGCTATTTATGAAGCCATGGTGATTCTTTCTGATTTCTGCTTCCTTTTCTAGATGTTTATTAACCATTTCAATTACTAGTAGTAGTAGTAGTAGTAGTAGTAGCAATAACAATAATAATAATAAATTATATGATTTTCCTAATATTCATTTTAATGCCCTCTTTGCCTTGATATAGATCAATCCCTAACTTTAATGAATTTACAAGCTAGTTCTGGAGATAAAGAAGTTCTTTTTCTTCATTTTAAAAAAAAATCAGTAGCTATTTCTAACACACTCAATAGATAACATGGGCTCCATCAGTTTAGCAGAATTAGAGATCAATTAATGTTAGAGTAATCTTGGAAAACAATACCAGAAGTGGGATTAAAGGAAAAATAGACCTTACATATAACTAACACTGACCTTATACTTTATGGTTTATAAAGCTATTTTCCTTAATATAAACTTGTGAGGTAAGCAATGAAGGCGTTATTGTTATAACAATAATAAAATTGAAGCCCAGAGTCACCTAATGACTTCCTCAGGGCCATATGTCCAAGTAAATATTCAAACCCAAGGATCACTCCTTACTCATTATTGAACACATTTCTCTAATCTAGCTCTGCCAAAACTAAACAAAGTAGTCATCTATTTGCAATCAGTTTTCAGATCAAGTACAATCTCTATATATTTTAATATCTAGTAAGAATGCCATGTGGTATAGTAGAACATGTGCTAGATCTGGTATCTTTCTCAATGCCTAGAAATCAAGACATATAAAAATTATTATAGTATAAGTGAATAAATGGTTGAATACCAGATTTACATTAGACTTAGATTTGACAGGGTTGTGGTAGTATTTGTTTATATTAATGAGGAAATCAACATGATAGAATGGAAAAGTCATCAGTTCTGGAGTTAGAGGACCTACCTTCAAATACTTATTTAGCTCCACTTATAACCTTGGCAAGCGATTTCTTCTCTGTGAGTCTTATTTTGCTCATCTACTCAATGAAAATGTTGGACTACATGGTGTTTAACATCCTTTCCAATTATAAGGTTCTATGATAATTATGTTTGCACTAGGAAGCAGCATTGGTCATGTCAGTATCATGTGCCTGGACATATGTCCATTGGGATTGTATTTAGAAAATATATTTCTCTCAAGATATTAGCAGTGGTATTACCGACGCTGCATTTGATGATATAAATAGAATCTTTGTTGACTATAGCCCTGGAAAATCTGGAAGAAACAGTTATCTTAACCAAAGTCATCACCACCTCACTATGAATCCTAAAAATTATAAAAGAGTACATCCCAACTTTAGACTGATCAATTTCTTTTATATGATATGCATTATCTTAGGTAGACAAAAGAGAGGAACAGGCTATATGACACAACTTCACAGTGTAGTTTAATTATTTTTGTCCTAGTTACTAGGAACATTCAAGATATTCATATTTAATTATAAGTACAAAACTACTTTCCTGAGTATATCACTGCAAAAATATCATTAATTTGGACTCCATTTAGATTTTGAGATTATATGAAGTGCTAGGAGGAAATACATTTTTGCTTTGTGGTATAATGTAGTATAATTTACAAACTGTAAACAGGGAAATGTAAAAGAGTACAATTAAATAGTTCAAATGCCAATATTATCAGAATTATCATGCCAATTTGACAATTTTTGTCAAGTTAATGATGTAGGGAGGTATTTCTAAACTAAAAATGGAATTTTTGATAGGTTACCATAGTTGAAGCTTGGCTGTCTCTATACCTTGCCATAGACAAAAACTATTTAGCACCTTATTTAAAGTGAGATTTTTTTTTTTTTGGCGAGAACTATAATAAATTCTCCATAGAAGTAAGAGGAATAAGTAGTCATTGACTAAGGTAGCCAAGCTATTCCATTTTTTAATGACAGCAACCATATCATTTACAGTACAACTGATACTAAAAATGAAAGAATCATATATTTTATGATGAATTCATCTTCCTCATCCTGTAGCTATCTTCAATTATTATGAAAGAGAAAAAAAGAGATATACATGAAAGAGAATAAGAATTAAATACCAAACATCATTCTTGATTTCATAAATTCAGTCTAAATTTGATAAAATTGTACATGAGTTTGGCAAATATATAAATATTTTTATATGATTTACTTGAATTGCCCCCAGAATAAGTCAAACAAATGCAAAAGTACCCATCAAATCTCAAATACACATATGGGTTTGCATTTATATAGCACTCCAAGGTTTGCAGATACTTTACCTGTGTTATCACATTTGATTCTCAAAAAAGAAAAAGCCCTCTAAGGAAGGGTCTATTATTGTTCCCATTTTATAGATGAGGAAACAAAGGCTAAGAGATGTTGAGTGACTTGACTAGGGTCACATGGTTAATAAGTGATTTGAACTTAGGTCTTCCTGTCTCCATGTCCAACCTTTTCTCAAGTTCATTCACCTTGACTAAGTTGTTGAAGCAAACTTTTGATTCCATACATTTCCATACATTTAGGATCAAATCATTTAATAAGCAAAATTGATAAATGAAAAGTTTCACTTATCTTTATGTGGTAGTAGAGTAGTGGGATCCATGCCTTATCTTGGGCTTTTTTTTTTCCTTTTCAGTTGCTGTGAATGTGGCTGTGACAGGGCTTCTTCCCTGTGCGCTGTTGCCCATCCAAGCCTAATATGGTTAGTGTTCCCTTGAGTTTTTTCACTCCTCTGTTTTACTTGCAATATACATTTTATTTCATCACTCATGTGCCCTACATTAGTGCATCTCATTAGCTAAAGATGGTTCTATGTAAAACAATATTGTTTCATTAAAATGGAGATGGTGCCCAAAAAGTGACATAATAAATGGTTCTGTAATAAATTATCCCTAACAAGATATATGAAAATACTACATGTAAAAACAGAGCCAAATATCTCTATCTACATATCAAAGCTGTCATACTGGTTCTAGTGTATAATTTATTCATTTAATTACAATTTTTAAACACTATGTACAAGATATACCACTAGGTGTTGGGGATACAAGGAAGGAAAGTTAAATCTTTTTTGCCCTTAGTGTTTTTCCATTCTGAGAGAGAGAGAGAGAGAGAGAGAGAGAGAGAGAGAGAGAGAGAGAGAGAGAAGAAGGAGAAGAGAGAGAGAGAGAGAGAGAGAGAGAGAGAGAGAGAGAGAGAGAGAGAATTGTTTTGAGAGAGAAATATAATTATTTTAATGTTGTTTTGATGTTGTTTTCTTTGGGGGAGGAAGAGAAGAATATATATTAATAACCAGATGAATTGAACAAAGGCTTCATGTAAATAGATATACTTGAGCTGAGATCTGAAAGAAACTAGCAATTCAAAGAAACAGTGGAGAAAAGGAAAGATGACCATGTATGGGAGACAATCTGTAGGAATGTACAGAGATACGATTTAGAATGCCATGTTGGGGGAACAGAAATTCACGCAATTTGGCTACAAATAAGGAATATGTAGGGTGATAGTACTAATGTGAAATCAGTTTTAAAAGGTTAGAACAAGATTATAAAGGATTTTCAGATTCACACATTGAAGTTTTCATTTTATCCTAGAAGTAGGGAACCACTAAACATTCTTGATGAGGGTAATATAGCATCTGACTTGTGCTTTAGTTATATCTGTTTGGTAGTTCTATGGAGAATAGATTAGTAATGGGAAATACTTGATATAAGGAAATAAATTAAAAAGCTGTTAGAATTGGCCAGGTGAGAGAATATGAGGGCCTGACCTAGTCTGGTGACCATGTGACTAGAAAGATCAGGGTGAGTGTGAGATTCGTTGAGAAGAGATCAATAGATTTTAGCAAATAATTGGATATAGGGGTGGAAATATGGGAAAAAGAAAAAGGATTAACAAATGGAAGTAGAAGTGATGTCATATCCATTCTACATTTGGCATGCTTTCCATGGAGCAAGAGTCATATCATATCTAAAAGCATCATATTACTGCTCTCAAGGAGAATTGATTTTACCTTTCCTTTAGAAAGAACCATGCAACTGACATGCAATATTGTTTTTCTTACATTTGTATACAGTCCATATGTGTTTGAAACAAGTGATACATAAATATCTCCCAAACAGCAAAATTGCTAGTGACCCACTTATTCTAGTTGGCAGGTATATATTTTATATTTTTATATAGGGTTAATATTTTTAGTCAAAATTTGATCAAAGTTAAAATCTTCAGAGATATATTTCATGGAATACTAGGAATCCCAGAACAATGTTTTAATATGCCATTTGCTGGGTTCCTATTATACCATCAGATTTTCAGTGATTTCAAAAGTGTATTTCTCCATAGAAAGGTGGATCCTTTACAATAAGAAGGAAAGAAAACACTGAACTGCAACCAAAGTTAGAAGGGGTTTCTAAAGTTCCTCGGTGTTGGCTGTTTCCTGAGCTTCCTGCCCACAGACTGAGGGGGAATTGAGTGGCTGATCAGACGGATATTGCAGGGATCTCTTTGCCATTGCTGTGGCAGGAATCTCTTGCTTTGCCTGTGCTTGGATCTGGGTCACAGTTCTGATGAATGGTCTTGGGGCGAGGAGGAGTGCTGGCATGGTGGAGCTTGTAGTGGCAGTTAACAGTGAATCCTCCTCACAGTTCCAAGACAGAAAAGAGTGCTTGTAGTCACTCACAGACCAGAGCACAGGCCATGAAAAGAGTAAGCACCTCCTCGCACCTTATCATACCACCTTGGAAGAACTGAAAATTTACAGTTCCCTAGAAGTATCTCTGAAAACAGCTGTACGAACCCCTGAAGCTTGGGACAGTACATTCTCCATATTGGAAGCAGACTTCTACCTGAATAAAGAGTTTATAACTCAAGTAATTGGCTGGGATCATGAGCAAACCTCTCAAGAAGTGTCAGACCACAGAATCTTTTTTTGGTAACAAAGATCAAAACATACAACCAGAAGACCACAAAGTCAAAGCTCCATATCCAAAGCTTCCAAGAAAAATATCAATCAGTCCCAGGCCTTTGAAAAGAACTCAAAAAGGTTTTGAAAAGCAAGTCAGAGAAGTAGAGGAAAAACTGGGAAGAGAAAAGAGAGTGATGCAAGAAAATAATGAAAAACAAGTCAACAGCTTGCTAAAGGAGACCCCAAAAATTACTGAAGAAAATAACACCTTAAAAAATAGACTAACACAAATGGCAAAATAGGTCCAAAAAGCCAATGAGAAGAAAAATGCCCTAAAAAGCAAAATTCGCAAAATGGAACAGGAAGTCCAAAATCTCACTGAAGAAAATACTTACTTAAATATTAGAATAGAGCAATTGGAAGCTAGTGACTTTATGAGAAATTGAGACACTGTAAAACAAATCCAAAAGAATGAAAAATTAGAAAACAATGTGAAATATCTCATTGGAAAAACAACTGACCTGGAAAACAGATCCAGGAGAGAGAATTTAAAAATTATTGGACTATCTGAAAGCCATGATCAAAAAAAGAGCCTAGACATCATCTTTCTGCAGTTCATAGTGTAGAAAATTATTTCAGTTGTAAAAATCTTCAAGATAAAGTTAAGTAGATTGTATGCATTAAATTATTTAGTTTACTCTCGTGTCTCTTCTAAAATTTGGAGTGTCCATAATGAATCACAAGGATCTGAATTTTTATAAATCTTCCTATTTTTTTCCAATATGTAAAGCTCTGAGTTTTGTGCCTCAATTTTTTCTATGACTTTAACAATATTTGAATACATAAGGACTAGTAACTAAATTGTGTATCATGGTTAATGTAGTGTCCTACCAAATTAAATTTTATTTTTTTAAGTAAATTGTGGTATTCACATAGTAAGTGGATAGATAAGTCCCACCTCTGACACATTCTATGGCCTTAGGCAAATCACCTAATTCCTCATTTCCCAAAGTCAATTCTCTAAAACTATAAATTGTAAAGAAGTGACTGACCTGCTTTAACTGTGAAAGTTCCTCCCAATACTGGGGAAATGAAAGGTTTGGTTTAAAAAAAAAATTCTGCCAAGCAAAGTGCTTAGCTTCGAAAACACAAAGGCAAATCTGAGTTTCTGCTTTCAAGGAGCTTACATAAAACTAAGGGATGGAGACACAATAGAGACACAAATAGGAGACACAAACTTTCTCAGTGGGAACCTGAAGAAATCAATTAATGGATACTATATACCAAATCAGCCCTTGTAAGGTGAATGAGGCATATTAGGAAAACAAATTCAAAAACAATTTGAAAACAGAAAAAACTGTTATGGACAATTATGGCCGACTTGTATTATAAAGCAAAGATATTTTCTCAAAATGTCAATCCAAATTTAAGAGAGAGGAGAAAAATAACTGTTTCACAACTTAAAGACTAAATAAGTAGTGAGAAGATGTATAAATGGCCTAAAGAATCCCTTCAAAGTTGATTTCTTGTAAGATGAAAGTAGATCATTGTTAAAATTGCTATTTAATTTTACTTATAATTACTTAGAACAGAGAAAAACCCACCTAAAATATATTGTGGGAAATAATGAAATCTACTACCATTTGAAGACTTCCAAATTATCATAATGAGCAAACCAGAAAAAAAAAAAAAACAGGCCCAAAATAGGCGTGCTATGGTAGTGGTTGTGTAAGGATAAATCAACTTAAAAGCTGAAGAAATAGACAATCAATATTATTGGTTATTTTATTAAAAGATAAGGAAATCTAAGCTCTTTGGAAATACTGTCTTTTATAAAAGCCTACTTTAAGAACTAAGGAAGGCTTTTTGGTTTGGTGAATAGAGCCTTCTCAATAATAGAAATCCAGTTTTAAAATGTTGGTATAATAATGTGTCTGAATCTTCCTAAAATTTATTCCATTAGTGTCTGTGTCTACTTTGGGACCTGAAAATAATAAAGTAAGCAGAATTATTCAACTAGGATAACATGACCAACCAAGTTATTTTTTCACAGTAATCCTAAATCATGCTGTTGGATCTGAGGGTATTATGGAACATCATTTGAAAACACTATTCTAGGTCCTCTTTAGAACCTTGTTGTCTCAAAACTACCTCAAAACTCTACAAAAACCAAGGCTACCTTGACAACTCTCCTAGCATAAGGCACACTTTGTTTCCTCAGATTTGTTGATGGCCTTTAACAGAGGATTAAAACTCCAATTCCTCCATTTTCCTAGTGTCACTTGATTCGATATCAGTAAAACAGACAAGGGAGAAATAGGCCTTCTTGTGAAGATATTTTATTGTCAAAGAGCTTTTGTGGGCAAAATCTTACTCTAGGACTATGAAATGCAAGTATAGAAATTTCAAAATGACTAAATAGAAAAAGGAACTTAAATTACACAAATAATAAAGTTTTACCACAGTGCTTACTAGCATATATAAAACCTTGCCCTTCTTAGTAAACATAATCTTGTGAGCATCAAGAAATTATATATTTTTGAGGTTGATTCTGGCTTATATTAGTAAGTATGGAAATACCTGACTCCACTTCAACAGTTTCAATGGCCAGAGAATGTGATTGCATCTTTCCATTGTAATTCTGGTGAATCTGTGGAAGGTATGGCTAAAATACTGGATTCCAGATGGACCTAGAGGGGAAAAAAACTGCTCCTGGTAATGCTGTTGCTAGGTCACAACGGGAAGAATGCTTTTGCAGTTGGAACTACCAGAGGACATCACACCAGACCCTCTGGATT